GTAACGCGTCGTCGATCACTGCCGGGCTTTACTCGCATTAATCTAATCCCCGAACACGCGTTCGAAGCCCTGATTGTGGAGCAGTTGGCTATGGATTGGCCGGAATTGGTGTACAATATGGGCGGCACTGTTGGCGTGTGGGTCGGCTTATCGGCGCTATCTATTGTGCCACTCATACAAATTATGTTTGGTTATCGTATATGGTTTGTTAAAATGTATCATGAGTATATCATGAATATTTTGTACTGTTTTAACTAGTTCATATATGAAGATTGTGGTTTATAAGATTTTCTCTGTTAACAAACACTTATATTAACTTAGATGCATTAAGCACATTATGCTAAACCAATGCGGCCATCATTATAATGAATAAGAAAATCATTATAAGATAGACCAGAATATACTCTCATAGAAACTTAATATCAAATACACGCATAATATAAGGACAAGTATATTATCAAAACAAAATCAAAATACCGACAAGAATTTTGATCATTAATTATCATTATAGTCATCGATTTCGTTTTAAATGTTTTTAAATGATAAATTATATTGTCCATATGTATCCGATTATTACTGTTGCCATTTAATTTATAAACAATTATTTCATATTAAAATAATAATAATGTAAATAGAAATAGATTATTTTTAATATTTAAAAATTTCTATGAAACATTTTCATAGATTTTCAGTTTTTAAAATCAACCATTTAATTTAAATTTATTATTATTAATTTGTAAAATTTACTTACTGTATGTAATATGGCAAACCAGGTTTTATTTAGAGGTTTTACTGTAATTTATATTTTTGATTACTTATTTTATTATTATATAATTTAATTGCAAAATGATATCATTTTGGTTGCATCTAGTTTTTGCAATTGGTGATTTAATATTTATTAAATTTTATATTACTATATTTAATTAGATATTTGTGCAATATAAATATTTATGAAATTGATTACGACGGTTATTGTTAAAATTTTTATTATTTGCACTTTATTTTTAATTACACATTTTATTATAAGTTTGATAACGGTGTAATTATAATAATCATTGTATTTCATTTCTAATTAAATTACAATACTAGTTGTTAACCAAAAATAATTTTATTTTATAATTTATTATAAATTATTTCGATCACGATAGCATAATCTAAAATGCGTTGGATCATTAATTGGTTTACCATCTGAACATGCTAATGTCGGAACCCGTTTATATAACTCATTCTTCATCAACCAATACGACCGACAGTCGTTACAGTCGAACCCCTTAACCCCTTTAAACCAAATGCTGTTTCTGACGTCTGCCTCATAAAACGGACGAAAAACTTGCTCATCAAGATACACAAATTGACCACGTTGATCTTCCAGGCTAATAAGTGTTGGACGTTTTATGCCACTCAGAGCACCAGGTTCAAAACTTGACTCATTTAACACGTTTCTCATGAGATAAATGGTTAACTTTTGATCGCTTGGTTTGCAGAAAGCGAACGCCTTGGTCATTATATGATCAAGGTTATTATTGTTTTGAAAGTCAATAAATGTCAAGTTTGGTAAACAACTAAAAGCGTGGCTACCGATAGTTTTACCCGAATAAATTGTCAATGTTTTTAACCTTGTTTGCTTACTGTTTGAAAACGCGTGCGATGGCACCATGGTAAATCTTGTATTAATTTTGTCAGTGATAGTTGTGGCGTTGATGAATTTGCTCATCACCGAGTATATTGTATCTTGTTTCAATAAATAATTAAAACCAAGAACCAATAAATTTGTAACGTTGTATGTTTGCATAAATGCATCAGGATGTATATGTACCAGATTGGTGCTGGTTATCTCAATTTTATTAAACACAATATCCTGGAATGTGTTGGCATTTATTTCAGTTACTCTTGTGTTATTAAATTTAAAATGGTCAAAATGTTTTTGATCTGGTTCCAGTGCTTGACTTAATTTTGTGAACATTTCAGCCAGATCAATATCAGAGTTTCCAAAACATTCTATGTAATTATATTGACAACCTGTACAGCCATAGGGCGTGATTACGCTTATGTTAGGACATTCGCTAGTAACGATCTTGGTATTTGCATAAATTGACAAGATCGCCGTTAAATCTGAAAAATAACATAGTTTAATTTAAAATATAATTTTTGTTTAATTTATACATATTTAATAAATTTATTCAATGTTAGTTAAAACTTACAAAATATTAGATGCATTATTAAATGTTAATTAAAAGTTCACCTAAATTGCATTTAAATATAATAAACAATTAATGTTTTTTTTATTTGATAATTTGAAGAAATATATATACGTTTAAAAAATCTATTATAAAAGTTATAATAGTTGATATAAAATAATAAAATGTTATTAAAATTGCGGCGTTTTTAGAAAAATTGAAATACAAAATAATAAAAAAGTTGTTTTATAATTTACAATGAAATATATTAATTAATTAGTAGATAAATGCAATTAACAATGATATTATTCTTGCAATAGAGATGAATTGATTAAACGATATCTAATTTATGTATTAATATATGAATTATAAAACATAAACATTTTTTCATTGCATAATACATAATAAAATTAACTTAAGTTATTAATTAGAAGTTGTAGTTTTCAATTCAAATAACATTTAATTCACTTAATTTTATATTATTACCAGAGCATTGCATTATAGTTAAATATAAGACCCCAAATAGTCACTATAATAGTTACGAAAAACACCCCAAATAGTTACTCAAATAGTTACTTATAATTTGACAAAATACGATGTAAAATTATACAAAATGTTACCAAATGTCATTTGCACTCTTTAATAGATTAAATATAACTGTTTTTAAGTTAAATCACTTGTATTTAACTAAATTAACTGTTGTTAAGAATATTTTTAATTATTTTAGTCAAAACCCTGAATACATACAACTTATAATTTTGATCATTTCATTGTTTTGAATGATAAATTATTGCAAAATTTTATAATAACTTTTACATTTATCATAGTTTACTTTATTTAATTTTTTTCTAACTAACAAATGTAGATTAAGTTGTGATTTTCTTTGTGTTTTATGCTAAAATATACCAAAAACTTGAAAAATGTATCAAAAGTTACGTATAAGGTAATAATCGTTTAAATAGTTACGAACGCCTCAAATAGTTAAATATAGTTAAAATAAACTTTCGGTAAACTGACCCCCAATACATGATTGGTTCACATCCCGGGTCCGGGGGTAATGCTATTAACCGCTAAAAATAGGTGGTAGAGGTAAATGCAATTCCCTGATTATTACTTTATTCAGTGAAATTATTGAAATAATGAGTTCTTACATTATTTTTAAAATTTTAATTAATAATTGCTAAATCAAACTAAAAACTTTTAACTAAAACTATTCCGAAATCTATATTTATTTTTAACCATTAAAACCGCATAAAATTTAAATTGTAATTTATATGATTATAAAATATACTGTATATGGCAGTGAAGTCTGTAGGATAAATACAATATTTTATTGGATTGATAGTTTATAAGTTAGAAATATAATAAATATTAACATAGGTTAAAATCTAAGTTAACATAGGAGCAACATTAAATTATGGTATAAATAAATACATGTATCAAAATAGTCTATATTCATTGGGAAACATAGCGTTAAAGTTGCGAATGCAATGGCTATCAAGGTGATTCCAATTCATGTTTTTAAATATCTGTAAAATATAATTAAATTAATTTTAACCATCAGGAACTAAAATCATATTTAGAAAATACCTTCATCATTTTATATCCTATTTCAAGTGTGGGCGCAGAGAGAAACTGTTTGAGATACACATTCAGCGCCCGGCAGTAGTGCCGGTGCAAAAGGGCGTGACGTTCAGTGAATTCACGCACAGTTGTGTCGTACATATCATCTGTTAGTTTAGAGATCTCTTCGTACACCTGATCCGCATCCGAGATGGTAAACGATGGCACAGTTGGTCCTGTATTACCATCAGTTAGTGTTTCACCAATTGATGAGATAATATCAATAATACCATTGGAATTAATGCCAGAATCGGAACTATCATTAGAAGACTCTTCACTCATTTGATCCGCTTTCAGCTCCGACACCGACTGTCCGTCTATGAGCTCACAAATGGCCACACCTTTAATGACCAACACATCTAAGATAGTTGACATTTCCGTCTCTAACCTAAAAGTAATTCATTATTACAATTCAGTAGTAATAAATTACAATGTAGTTTCAATGTAGTAATAAAAAGTTTGTTAAAAAAATTAATAACAATTTAATTGTAATATAAAAATTACAAACTTTTTCAACGCTTTCCGTGTGTCGGGCGACGGCTTCTCAATAGTAAGCGCGGCTTTAGTTGTAATCAAACTTTTACAGCCATTTATAGCCAACGCCTGATCCGCCAATACTATCTGCCGGTGCCGGCGCTCATCACTAGGGTCTGGCCCATCGAGTGCCCGCATACGGGCCAATATAGCCCGTGTGTTTGTGCCGTCTGTCTCTATTAGCTCATTGAATAATGTGTCCGACTCTGTGTCCGGTAATCTAATCCAATAATACATAGTTTTAACGTCAAAAATATTACATTAATAACACAACTATTACTTTGAAATCCAATTAACTTTTAAATCCGCGATCGCTTCCAACAATGACTCTTCATCAACACCTGTGTCCGCACAGTCATCACTACCGGCGCCGCTGTCTGTCGGTTCGTTGGGCGCCCACTGATAGCCACTGTCCACGATATACCGGAACGGGAATACACGGACCAGTCGTCGGTTATCCAACTGAATGGTGCCCTCAAAATAGGAGCCAACGGTAACGGCCGGTGCGTCGGCGGGGGCGGCGGTCAGACCGGCGATAAACACCGTGCGCTCGGACTCCGGCCGTACGGCACTGTACTCGATAACACCCCACCGGCTCCGGTCGTGTATCGCGTCGCTGTACGTGTGGTACAGGTTTAGCTCTTGCCATATGGGGTACTCTACGCGTACAGGCAAATGATCTAGCTGCTCCAATTGGGCGCTGTTTGTGTGCTTTATTTGCAGCCGGATTGTATAGTCGCCTGATATCAATTCAAGCTATAATAAAATAACAAGGGTGAAATTAATTTAATTTATAACATTAATAGAGACAAGATAGTTTACTGATAGAATATGGTAATTAATAATTTACCTTTTTGCTATTGTAATCACCAGCAGAGATCTGGCGTTTGGTCGGTGTGTCAAAAATCATCCAGATTAAATTCACGTATTCCATAACTACATCACTGCCAAAAGTGTACACTATGTCCACCGTATGATCCTTTGCCTATTTTAATAAGAGATGGTTATAAAAATATAAATGAAATTATCAAAAAATTAAAAATTTACCAAGATTAATTTGTAAGTCAGTAGACACTCGTATAACTGCTGCGCGGTTGGTATAACATCGCGATCGCCCAGTGGGCGAACTATATGCTCAACAGGTCTAATGTGAGAATATAAATGCATGGTAATTAATAGTATTGTATGTTTTATTATCTTAGATAATAATTATCTTACTTTAATATTTTCACATATTTACTGAGATAGATGTTGGGCTTAATGGTCATAACACGGGTCATACATTGTATTTCCATTCGGGCGATACGCTCACTAGACAACTAGAACAATAAATTAACATTAATTAAAAATTTATATACACACTATCAAAATACAACCATGGTCATTTCTTTAATTACAGGCCGGTAGCCATAAAACTCAACGTTGAACGTAACTTTAGTACTGTCCACACATTTCCACGACTGGCCAAAGCATAGCTCGAGAGTGCGGCCACCGGTCACCTCCCGGTCAAAGTCAACCTCATGTCCGGCCGAAAAGCTAAACTCCTCGTCCATGTGGTTGACTGCCCGGCGCTCAATGGGCAGCATTTGCAGCGCCTGGAGATAGTACTCAGTCTCGCCGGTGTGCGCCTGTGTCGGGTCGCTCACTATCCACACCTGCATCGCCGTAACGGTGTCGGGAATGGCCAGGAATTGGCGCCACACGTGACCCGCTTTGCACGTAAGTTTGTGCACCAATTCTAACGTCTCGGGCAATCTGTTGGATATTAATTGTCATAATTGTATGCTCTAATGTACTTTATATAATATAAAACAAGTTTAACGTGATTACTTTTCGGGCTTAATAACAGTGACAGGTATGCGAAATACAGGTCCCTTTTCCACGCACTCCGTGTCGTAGGCATTGATCTGTTTGTATGTATTAATTATAGTTAATATTAATACTATTTAAATCAAATTTGAATATATAATACTATACCCATGTAAAATGAGCCTGGCCATCATCCAGGCCGGTAGGGTTGACTTCGATGGTGATATCTCTGGTACCGTAAGTCAGGTGCAAGAATGTGGGACAAGTGATCCACTGGTCGTCGCACACGAGTCTTAACTTCATCTCAAATCCAACTTTTTGTTTATTATCTATAAAATAATAAATACATCACTAGTATTATTAATAATTATAATAAAAATTAACAATTATTTACCAATATGCTTATCGTCGAGAAAAAAGGGATTAATTGTGATGACATGAGTGGTCGGGTGTTTGACATCTGGCACTTCCCGGAGATAAATACCGGCATACTTTTCATTAGTTGTGATGTGAAAGTTGACGTCCCGTTCAGTGCAACCCATACTGTATTCACACAAATGCGCGAAAGCCTTCTCTACCTATGGATTGGATTAAAAATAAATATTAATATAAAATTTTGAGAGAGAGAGAGAGAGAGAGAGAGAGAGATGCAAACCTGGATGAGTCCCAATCCATGAGTGAAGGGCTGGTATTCGTGTACTTTTAATGCCGTGTTTTCAATACTCCGGCGAACACTATATGGAGAGTAAGGCATTGACAGAGCCTTCAAACCGGACAGCAATAGTGCCGCACAACCGGACACGTGGGGCGCACTCATAGAAGTGCCGCTTTTCAAATCCGCTTTTGATTGATCCCAGACGGGGACCGACGTAATGGCGCCGCCCGGTGCGCATACACTCACACCAAGATCACCATTTTCCCTAAAACAATTATGGTAATTTCATAATCATTGAATAATACCAATAATAACCAGTAGTACTCACGCCGGACCTCGTGATGTCCACGTGTAGCTCAGACCGCGGCCATTGGTCGGGCGTATTGAGTGCTGGGCTGTCATCATATCCGCCGAGACATAACCGCCGACGTATATGAATGGGTGTGGATATGGTGCCCACTGGTGTTGGCATGTGGTCAGCGCTGGGCCCTCATTACTGGCGCACACCGTTATTATAATGCCGTACTTATCGACCATTTGGTGCATAAAATTCAACACCGGTCTAAACAATATAGACAAATATAAAGTACATGATTATCATATTCACTATTCATCATAATTATTAATTAACATAGTAAAATAATATTAATGTAATAAATGTTACATACGCGCTTACTTCCAACCCGCTGCTAATGTTAATAACGTTGCATTTCATCTCGATTGCACGGTTCATAGCTCTAAATATCATGTTAAAATATTATTGAATGAAGTATGTTAAGCAAATAATTTTACAATGAATGATTATTATGAAAATTATCTATTTAACATACTTTCTGATTTAAACTGTTTTTGAGTAAGCAATTAAGAATGTTAATAAAATTAATCAATCAACCTGGTAACTGACGAGCTGGTGTAGAAATGTTCAGTTAGTCTATTGTCAGCAAAACACAGTGAGACAATCTGAGCGCCGGGCGCTACACCGTCCCGATCGGGTTGACCCGGGAAGTGTGCGGCAGCTATACTGGCCACGTGTGTGCCGTGAGGTCCTAACATTATACACATATGTAGAATATTTATGTATTAACAAGGTAATTATATTTTTATAACGCTTACCACACATGGAGACAATCTCCAATAGATTTCCCTCGTTGTGTATGTTTACACAGTAATTTAGCATATCTTAGAATTTTTACAATGGTTAACTTAAAATTAAATTTTACATTTTATAAATGTTTAATTACTCACCACGTTCCGATATTGTGCCGTATTTAAAACATTCCCTATATGTGCCCAATAATGTACAGGTATCTAACATTCCGGCACCGGTAGTGTCGATAACTGCCCTATTAATAAAAAAAACCAAAAAACATTATTAGTAAAACATTATTTTTTATAAATATTGCACAGTATTGTCATGTATAGAAACCTATGTAATATATAATTCTAATTACCCTAACTTTGATTGACTACCAAGGCTATTTAAACGATGCGATCTTAATCTAACGATTAGCATTTGTTAAATACATTATAATAAACAGATTACGACGTATAATTTGTTTGGCCCACGGGTAGATTTCCCGGAAATCGGGTAATTAAGTCTAACGCCCTAATTGAACAATTATGTAATTTAGAGCTAATTAATAAATGACGCTATTGTTATTTTGTGTTTAATACCATTTAACATTGTTAATAATATAATAGGGATCAAATTTATTCACTTTAATTTTAGGGCCCGCGGGTTAGATTTCCCGCAAACCGGGTATTTGTATAGCAATGTGTTTCCATAGGTTTACATACAGAATCCCGTTCATAGTTCTTTTTATATTAGCTTAACCGGCCGATACCTAGATCTTATGTCTACCACACTTTGCATTCGGCGGTGCGAGCCTAGGGTAGCGAGTGACCGGTAATGGCCTGCGGGCCTCGGGATAATACCCTAAATACAATATGTACATACTGGCGCAAATGTATGTCGTTATTCTGCTGTCAATAGCAGTTTACTGTCAGGGGTTAACTCGATTGACTTATCTGATTGCCCGCAACTGGCCAACAGTTGCGGGTCGTGTCCGCTCGGATATCCTCTGCTCGGATTGATCAGACTTAATGCTAAAACACTATTGTCTTAAGACAATTACACTATAAGTCTACTTTAGACTTAAAACCAGAATTTGGGAATAAGAATAAGATTGTTAGTTACATTAGGAACTATGTGAGTTATTACACTATAGTTCGATAATAAATACTATAATAATTAAATAGAGAAATATTTGGGTTAAGAATGGTAAGGAATAAGATGTCAGCTATTCAATAGTGGTGCTGCGACATTCCCACTAACGGTTATTATACAGGGCAACCGTAGACCTAGTTTATAACATTAAACATCAAACATGTTGGTCATTTAATATGGTCAAACCTTCGTAGGCCATAACATCAATTATAAATATAATTACAAAACAAGACAAGACATCACAATACAATACAAATATTAAATATTAATACTCTTAAATACAAGTTTATATTTAGACAATACTTATCATTGAAATATATGTTTAGTCATTTGACTAAACACTTCAACCCTTTAGTTGGTCTGATCATTAGCATTCGTACCTATGAATTAATAATAATCGGTAACCCCCGATTTAAGGAGAAGCCTCATAGGGCTCACAATTAATATAATTATTATAGCGCTAATAATTATACACTGATTTAAATTTTAAAAGATATTTATTTAATATAAGGAATATTCATGACTTACATTAAGATGGAAACGAGCGAAGACTTCTCGCAGTATAAGGCTCGCGATGCACAATATTAGCTAACACTTAAACTATTATATGATTGAAGAAACTCTGCATATCTCAAGTAAGAGAAGAGCGGAGAGATTGGTCAAGAAGCCGTCGAGCAGAGCGTATCTAAAAGCCCATAAAGACAGGTCCAGAATCTATATTTGCAGCCCTTTTTATACCCCCTCTCTCACCATGTCTTGCCGTTATCATTGGTTAATCATAAGTTTATGTCTTGCGTTCCGATTCTTAACTCTTAGCGCACAATCTGAGTCCACTGATGACTCACATGCGATGACTCATTGGGTGTGGTTCACGTCTTATGACTGTTGCCCAGAATTTGACTCTATATTCTAATATAGTGTTAATTCTGTTAAAATAATATAATATTAATGTATATAAACGGGACACCACTTCCCGTATGTATTCGACTGATAGCAATTGTTTAGGCGACTGACGGTGTTTCAGTCGGTTAGGCACAGGACTTAACTCCCGGCGAATACATTATATAACACTCGTGCTGTGAGAGAGAATCGCGCAAAATAATATAAGACATACGGGATAACATGTGAGCACATAAGGCCTAATAGATTAACATTATTGTATATTATAATGTTAATTATATACTAACTATTTTTTAGCTGACATTACCCCCGACTTAAAATTTGTTCGTCCCGAACAAAACGAGCCTTATATTGAGGAGAGAAGTCTTAGCTTTACAATTAAAACATTTATTTTTTTGTCATTTTATAAAATTTTACATATTTTTTTGTGAGAGGAAAACAGATTTCTGATAATAAATAGAAGTCTGTGAAAAACCTCTCGGTATATAAATATATCAATACGTTAATTCATAAATATTATATATAAAGTTACATTTAAATATATTTTAAATATTTAAAAATGAATAGTCTGGTGTATTTAATGAAATATAAGGTGTTAAGTCTTCTAAGACATTTTGAGGGAGAAATGCATCGTAAGCCATCATTAGTTTCAGTATTTGGTTATAATAAATATGTCTATCCAAAAGTGTTCTCGCTTTATCGTAACTCTTCAATTTGTTGTCGAGTTTTTCACTAATTTTCCTCCTTCGTTTTATCGCTTTCATTCTATAAGAGCGCGGCTTAAATTGATAGGTGTTGTAATGAGGGGTTTCTTTAGATCGTTTAGATGACCCAACATTTTCTTTATTGTCTTCGCAATAATAAGAAATATTAAACGTAGCCATAATTGTTTTTGATTGACTAATTATTATTATTAAGTCTCATAATAAACACAAAACTACCAAATATTGTAATCACTAATAATGGAGAATACAATTAGAAAGCACAAAAAGCACTAAATGTGTGATGCATAGCGCTTTAACACTGAGCGCTATAGTGAGTCATGTCTCGCATCACTAAAAAAAACGTTGCTATAGCAACAGTAGCACTAGTGAAGAGTATTTATTGATTAGTGAATTAAATATTTAGATTAATTTATGAATTTGAGTATAAGTTTGAATTATTATTTAAATTATAATAAATGATTAGGATTAACTAGTATTCAAAATAATTATTATAAATGCACAAATTATAAGCCCTGAGGTATTTGGGGCAAAATGTGATGATTGAGTAAATAAATTATTAATTCTACATCTCGTTTAACATTATATAGACGTGTTCTTAAATTAAGGTTTTCGCTTTGAAGGTTACGCCTAATTGTTTCACATGTTTGTCTATTAGTATTAGCATAAGGACAATACCTTTGTTCTCTTCTATCGTTATGTCTTCGTACTGAAAACTGGCTATCGTTACTCCAATTAGTAGAGTCATTAGAAAGTTGATCTTCTGATTGTTGAGGAGATGCTGGCGGATCCATATTAATTATTAATACACTATATTATTGTTCACTTAATTAATTTGTCGTTGTTTTGTAAGTCTTATTTGAATAGCATAAAGTCGTTTTCTTTGACTTTTAGTTAGAGAACAAATAATCACTGGATCAACAAACCCTTTTATGGCGATTTCTTCTAATTGACTATCAGTTATATTTTCAAAATCAATAGATTGATCAAGAAGTGAAAAACCCGTTGAAATACTGATGTTATTAAGTGAAAATGTTTGTTGGTGAGCCGGCTTATCAGGACAGATTCTTAGATGTTTTAAATATTTACTGTCTTTCATACGATGATTAACATTATATGGACATATTCTTTGTGACATTTATAATATTTTAAACACAAGTTAAATAAAACCACAATATTTGAAAGTTCACAATCAATAGCGACTACTCATTACTAAGTTTAGAGTTATAATAAAAGTAATATTGAAATGAGTCAAAAATATCAATGGTTAGAGCTGTAGGAGTGGTTAAATGTGCACTATCTATAAGTACTATATTGTGAATCACAATATGATTCATTTTATCGATTTTATTTCGATGACTAATACATTAGTGATATATTAAAATGATTCACACATAAACTGAGTCACAAATTAATTGCTCGTGATTATATTTTTTTTCACATTACATAATAACACAAACACTCATGATTATAATTATATTCTTAATTGGTTATAAGTAAAATTCATTTAATAATAAAGGTATATTATATATTTTATGGTTTATGACTCACAGGATCAATGGGTTCTTGTTTAATGACAGAAGCAGTTATAGTAGATATTGAAGGAATATTTGCTTCTGTATCATTAAGCCATTTTAAATGTCTTTCGCAACTTTCAATCTCTTGTTGTGAGAACTTGATAATAGCATTTAAGTTGATTATTTTCCGGGTAATTGTCTTCTTTACATTCACAATTCTATCAAATTTATTGTACTCAGTGTTATCAATTTCTTCTCTCTTTCGTTTTAATCGAGAAATCATTGCTTTTGTTAATGAATCATTTCTCTCAGCGATTATTCGTTTCTCAATAATTTTTGAAGATTGTTCAACGTTATTGACAGATTGTGTATTTTGAGTTGATTGTGTTTTCTCTGCTGGAGAGTAATTGTGATTTTTATGATTATACTTGAACATTTTGAAAACGCAAAATTTTAATGATATTTAATTATTAATTCACAGATTAAAGTTAGAATTATTATATTTTTAGCGTTCAATTTCACTAGTGTATATTAAGACAATGTTTTGCACCAAAATGAGAGAACTATATTGATTGGTTTTTCACTATAGTGAAGCACAATATCGCAAATAAAATGTTATGTGTAGAGTAGGAGTGGTCTATTAGTTTGTAGGCAAACAGTATTGAATGTATAAGTTTATGCGGGCTTTATAGTTTCATATAATGATTGTCTATTTCAATCGATATATTTTGCCCAAAATGCTTGCTATTTGCGATAACTTTAAGCATAGTTTGTTGAGTCAATGGGAATCAATTTATGAGTCATAAGTAAA